CCGCCCTTCAAGCAACCTTACTGTTAGTATTAAGCGACGGCTGTTCTGCTCGCGGAATACTGACCGTTATTACAGAAGGCCCTGGTTTAACCCTTGGAGACAAGACGACAGGGAGTTTTTGATTTCACAGGAACAACAGCAACAAAAGAAGGAGTAAAATATCACAGTTCATCTTTGCTCCGCTCTAGAGATTCATATTCTCCGAGGGAAGCTGTGTTGGAAACCATTATCCACTAAACAAGGACATTGTTAGTCCCGTTTTAGCCGTGGTTTTTCTCTTAACCCGTTATACAAACGTTCCATTACGGCAGTAAACCTGTGGTGGAAGCTTGTCGCTGTGTATGCAGGCACTGTCGCCTGGTTTTTGTAACATATGCTTATTGTAATAATTCACATCCTATAAAATTTACATTTATGGCAAAGCCAGTGGCATTCATGATTCCGTATATGCCGTGGAGGCCAGACGAGGATGCGCCAGGACCCGTCGGTCAGTTTAGCTTCATCTGATGGAAGTGGAAAAGAGCAGCCCGTGTTTTTCAGTCTTCCTCTAATATCTCCGCTTATTTGATTAACAAGCGCATGTGCATTCATTTATAGAAACACGCCCACGCGGATTATCACCGGCTGTTCTTGAACTCACCTTCGGCTAGCAGGTAGTTGAACGTTGGATATACTCCGAGGTGCTTTCGGTGAAGGCCCACGCTTTCCAAAGTCCAGTGATGCCAGTTCCGGTGAACTTCGTGCGTCGCAGTTGGAACCTGTGACAATACTATGGTTATATCCCATGCATATATGGCAGAACGGGCAAGACACCAGCGGAACCCATGATGCACGACTCATCGGTCTCGATGTGCGTGCCAAAGCTTGCTGGGTGTTGTAGTTGAAGTAAATTGTACAAACATCTAAAACCTGCTGAGAACGCCCAGTATACCATAGTAATGCAGCAGCGCGGTTCATTTTGTATTTTTTTTTTGCGCAAACTTTCATTTATGCAGTGGACCGGCGAGCGTCAATGATTTTGAACCTCCCATTCCTGCCACTACTTTCAGTGAAGAGCTTGCAGAGTGATTTTCACTTGGANCAATGATTTTGAACCTCCCATTCCTGCCACTACTTTCAGTGAAGAGCTTGCAGAGTGATTTTCACTTGGAACGCTGACCAGACAAGATACCATACACAGTTTTACAGTCTATACGCATTGATTTACTACTGTAGTGCGGAGCACCAGTGATCGAGGCACACTAATGAGCCTATCTATGCAGGCACGCACCTACAGCTTTCCTGTTTACGCATAGGGCAAGATTGCTCCAAAATTGCTCCACTTGCATGTACAGCAGCACGACGTTGGGGCTTAGCTTAGTTTTTTCCACAGTATACTACGGTCAGCGTTTGGCAAGCAGACATTCGGACCCATTATTACACCAACGTGCCAACTTTCCCGTAGTGCAAAACGTAGCTTTTAGAGGCACAGGCATATCCAGAAAAACGCCCCAAAGACTCCGAGGACTGACTGTAAAAGGGCAGCTCTCATCTTTAGGCGATCGACGCAAACAATGGGGTACGTCACATCGTGGGATGTAGAGCCACAAGCAATTGATGCGGTGGTCTGGAAGCAAATACATGGAATAATTTTGTAGACTAAGATTCATACAGTCTGATTGACACCTGCACTGGTCTGCAAGCCTGGTGACTGTTTAAACTTTACCTGCCTACTCTGCCTCCAAAATTGGATTTTCCCCATTTGTCCACATAGTTGGCAAAGCATGCTCCCGTCCGTGAGTAACCTTTACCTGCCTTCGCTGCCTTAAAAATTGGTTTTCCGCATTTGCCTACTCACCGGCGGGCGCATGCTGTTTCAACTACCTTTCGGCGTAGACAGTGAATGTCATCTTTTGCACTCGATGACTTTGCGTGTGACGTGCACCAGCTTAACAATAGCGCGAAGTACGTTTCCCTGGGCGCTACCATCGCATCGTCATCCCCGGGCTTCCAGCTGTCTGGCAGGGCGAGATGTTCCGATCCATCTGTTTCGCAATGCTATTCAGTGAGACGATAAGACAGTCAGGAGGAGTTATACCACGTTTTTGATGGTGCAGGACGATTACCTACGTATTCCTCAGATATTCGAAGAAAGGAAAAAAGCTATTTCGCTCTTAAGTCCATCCATAGCTTCCTCAGGTACTCTGACTCACACGCACTGGGCATTCTAGAGAAAAACCTATACCTGAAGTACAGTTCACGAGTGTAGGCCAGGAAATAAAACGATTCCACAACATCAACACACCACGATAAGAAGTGCATTTGGCTAGTTCACACTGGGGCACTTGGGACCGGGTGGGTGAGACAGAGGACACCTATACTACGGGTATAAATACAAAGATGAATTACACCAAAGCGAAAAACATGCAGCTTTCCATTCCAACCCTTTAATGCCCTCACAGTTACTGTTCCGCGTGAGGCTCATTTCAGTTTGATCGCATCTTCCCTTTTGTGCAGACACATGACACAGTATCATTGGGTGAGCAAGTGGATCATATGGCGAAGTGTTCAGATCCGAGCGGACCCCTCCATTATGGAATTCGCTCAATTGGATCGAGTATCGTTGTGCCCGACGCAGCCTCCACGACGTTTCACAGCTATGGAGTTCAGTGCAGGGCTGGGAAGCAATTAGAGGCAGTCCAGCGAGATGTCGAAAATGTGCTATTTCCGAATACGCATTGCATCTTACAGGTACAGGCCGAAGAGGATCCCGGGTGAGCAATAAGTAATTCAGGTAGAACGATGCTAAGCAGCTGCCTTATGANCAGGCCGAAGAGGATCCCGGGTGAGCAATAAGTAATTCAGGTAGAACGATGCTAAGCAGCTGCCTTATGATCATTCAGTTTGCCGTCTCCAGAATAAGCAGCGTATTTGGTGGTGTGGTACACGCTTCCTCATCCCAGAAAAGCCAGGGTATAGGAACTGTACTGTGCTTTGATGATGAAGGTAGCCTCTTTTCAGAAGGGGTCTTCCGCAGCCACTGGTGCGAGGCCAGCTGTTACATAGAGAATTGGTGTCTCGTCGAACTTGCAGGGGCAGCTGGTGACGCTACTCATTGGCTCAGAAGAGAATACGGTATAGCCAGTGATGCAGAGGGTAGCTCAACGAGGGACCACTGACGCACCACAGAAAACCGTTTACTGCCTGCGATGACAGCTTGCGGAAGCAATATATTGAATGTCTTTTCCCATTTTCTGTTCCCTGGAGTCGTAAATCGAAAGTTGCTGTTACGCCTCCTTGTGCAGAGAAACTGCCTCCTGGCAATCAACTGTGGAGTCTCCGTCGCTGAAAAAAGCGGGTTCATTCGCCTGTTCACCCGTTTGGTGCATCCGGAAACTGAATAGCATGAGGCCCCGCGCGCAGGAACACGCATCATATATTTTGTATACTCACTATCCGGCAGCAGGCTACCACCAAGGCAGCTTTAAAGACCGTTTCAGCAATGGCGAAGAGGAGGCATCTCAGCAGTGATATTTTAATATGATTCAGTATTAAAACTAGTGGAGAAACGCAGAATCCACGTTCGAACTGGGCACTGGCACATGCATGGCAAGAAGCGATGACTCGACCTGCAGTGGCAATCTTCGCCATAGGCGCAGACAAAAGTGCAGAAGACTTCGTGATAATCATTGGTATGGTAGAGACATGTTCATAAAAATGCGTCAATAAACCTTTTTATGTCTTTCGGGAACAGCAAAAGGAGCAATGTTTCCATGTTGTGTTCCATGAGAGCAAATGCAGACGAAGGCGAGAGTCCNGGGAGAAGCGGAACGCACGACCAAGTGCAGCATTTGAGAAACATTTTAGACAAGAAAGCATATCCTTAATATCTAGCGTGCCATTCTACTAAAGGAATAATTGACCATTGGTGTGACGACACCATCCAGGTGCTTGCAACTCAGCCTCGCTCACTTCCGGCGCAGGGACTGCCCCAGGCAGATGAGCCACAAGCAATAGCCATCAGACACGCATCTAAATACAATTCTTTCATATCCTTCCATTGATTGTTGCTGCCGAGTACTGGAAAACCAGTATCAACTAGAAAACCTCTGAATTCAACGTTCCCGACACCATTGTATCTTGCCGCAACTTCAACCTCCTCTGGGGGAGTGAGCACAGCATTGCGATGCTGCAACAACAGGTGCCTATGTTGCTTGACAGTGCTACGCCAAAAACAGGCGGTTGCTGGAATGCAGTATTTTAAGTGCAACTAAGCCGACCAGAGATTTCGCTCCATTAAACGTGATCTCACTCCTGCGTGGGGATCGATCCTTAAACCCGCGTTCTGCAGTGGGGTTGCAGGTTGAGGTGTTTGCTTCGTATCTACGCCGCCATACTACTTTCCGCCGCTTTAGTTCTGTAGAGCCCCCCATTCTGCGGAGGGGATATTCCAGGCGTCGAAGTGGGACTGCGACGCTGGGCTTGCAGTTAGCGCAACAACCGTTGTGAGTGGCCGAGTGGGANGGCGTCGAAGTGGGACTGCGACGCTGGGCTTGCAGTTAGCGCAACAACCGTTTGTGAGTGGCCGAGTGGGACTATGGATTAATGAAAACCAGATACACTTCTGAGTGGTAGTGAGAGAATGGAGAGTGGAGGCTTTTCGAGCAGCGCGGTTGGGCCCTATGTGGAGGCAGCAGATGCACTTTCTGTCACTCCAACTAATGCACAAGCGCCGGAGCTGTCGTCGGGTGGTGGATCTCTTCTGCGGGCTCACTCTTGTACACGCGCATTCATAGCTGCATTGGCCTCTATAACTGCAGCTGTGTTGTTAATATCCATTTGCAGCCGAGCTCAGATGTGGAACCATGCACTGCACACTCGCGCTCGCCGGCTGTCTGCCGGTGAGGGAAGGAAGCGTGGATTTGAAAGCTTGTGTGAGAGCGATTCGGATGAGGCGTCAGCATGGCTGGACTCTGATAGTGATGACGATGCCTCAGCTTCTACTGTGCCCCCAGCTAAACAGCCGCGCATTGGGCAAGAGCTACACGAGAGCTCCAGCTTACCGGTAGCCCAACAGCAGGCCATATCCCCTCAAA